GTATGCAATGTGTTAATTATTGAAACTGTCCTACCAATTTGATTTGAAACTGTCTCATTGCTATTTGTTTCTCAATAAAATTATGAAAAAAAAAGTTATGATGTTTTTTTCTTTTCTACCTTTATTTCCTCTATGCTACTTCAGTGGTACTTATAATGAAGGAAATGAGCAGGGCACTAAGTTAGAAAATGACTGAAGTCAGAGAAGGCCTCTTTGAAAAGGTAATATTGAAATAGAGACCTGAAGAAGAAAACAAAAAAGTCAGCCATGGGAAGAGTTGCATTGCCCATAGAGTACTGCTACCCTACAGAGGAAGTTAACTCTTAAAGAGGCAACAACACTGCTAGATGGTTAGACACTGGTAGCTCTGAGGGACAAAGGGGGTCAAAAGTAGCATGTTTTGCTAGTTATAGTAGTTATGGTTAAATGAACAGTCAAAGACCTCAGTGTATAATACATTTATAATCATTTGTTAGGTCTCAGACTCAAAATGACCCCATGGAGCACAATGACATTTTAAGGTTATACATTGTGTTTATTCACTATGACCCAGAGCTGCCTATTTCCAAACGAAGGTATACATCATAGCTGGATATCATGGCCTAGATCCAACAATATCAAAAAGGGACACATGCTTTAAAGATAGCCTCTGTTAGACTGAGATCATATTTAGATTCTCTCTCTCTCTCTCTCTCTCTCTCTCTCTCTCTCTCTCTCTCCTTTTTTTGTTTTCTTTTTGAGACAGGGTCTCACTATATAGTTCAGGCTGGCCTTGAACTTACTATGTAGCCCAGGCTTGGAATTCGTAGCAATAACCCTGCCTCAGCCTCTTGAGTGCTGGAATTACAGGACTGAGCCAGAACACTGACCACATGGGGGGAAAAAGCAAGGAAGACATTTTGTAATTTTAAAGTAATCTCTAAGAAAATGTCAATAAACACACATAAGGTAGATAAAACAATGATAATCACCATTGTTCACTGAGCCCCAGGAGTAACCCTTCTGTACATAAAAAGATAACTAAAGTCGCCGTCTATTCTGACGCATACATAGCATTGAGGTAGACTATAAGAAATAAAATAGGTTAAAAGGAAAAAACATTGAAGAAACATAGAGACTTCGAATTGTGGGGCAGAGAGTGAGAAGCGCCTCTCCGGCAAGTGTGATGTAGTGAGGCAAGAGATCAGAGTGTGCAAACGGGCAGGACAATTAGGCATGGCCTGCTGGTTATGGAGAGCAGCCCATCAGGGCCCGGATGCATGAGCAGGGCAGCTTCAGATGGCCCATACGTGACATCACAATAGAGCATAAAAGACTGAGCCCATTGGCCGCCTGGTCACAGTGATCTTCCTTTCCCAGTGGCCATTCTGCACATATGGCATATTTTCTTTTTATACAGTTTGTCTTCAGAGAAAGAGCTTCTCTTTCCAGACACTATTCTCTTTTCTCTAGTTTCCTACTTTTACCTTCAATAAATGTAAAACCTCTCCACCCTTCAGCTGTCCTGTCCAATTCTTTGTTTAAGACAACAAGAGCCTAGAAGGGACCCCGGGGTCCCTGGCATCCAGTAACAGCAGGGTAGAACAGTAGCTAGGTGGCAGAGAAATAGGGAAAGATGTAGTTAGCACAACTAACCCAGAAATTGGCCAGTGTAGAGAGAAGTCAGAGCACAGCTGTTGTGGGATGTGAAAAATAGGCTGTCACTGGAAAGTCTCCGGACTTCTCATCACATATTCCTCCATGCTGCAATAGGCAGCCATCTTGAGAAGGTTATGGCTGAGCTTGCTGACTTAGGAAGCAATAACCCTACATTTTCCTGTCCCCAAGAGCCCACAGTAAATGTTAACTATCTCTGCAAGTGACATCTTGGAGACCCAGTCTGGCCCAAAAAGCACCACAGAAACAACGTTGCTGAAATCTCTGTGTGATGCGTAACTGCTCAGTGATGCAGAAGAGAGAAAAACTCACTTCTCCTTTAAGAGCAGTTGGTCAGAGGCTACCTAGCTGAAGTTCGAGGGGCCAAAGTGGTTCACCTGACTACCTGAGCAGGCGCTTGGGCTCAAAGCGCCAGAACACTGGGTAGCAAATTGTATGGAGGAGGCTGCCACACTCCCAAGCCCCCACTCCTAAGCAGGACAGAAAGTTTTCCTGCCACTCAAGTAGTCTGCACAAAGGGCTCTAGAGCCCATCCTTGGAAGTACATTGAGAAAATCCTTCCAGAATAAATACCTTCCACAGGAACTTTACATTCTGCTATTTACTGTACTGGCAAGAACAGCTGAGAGATACTCCAACAGGATGTGATCCTAAACCACTCCCACCAACTACCTGGTGAGCAAGACAAAAGTGAAAAGTAAGAGGTGAATAACTCCAACCTTTGCCTCACTCCAAGAGGTGCACAGCCAAGAAGAGTTGGTTGGCATTGGCAGTGAGCGTCTATTCTTGACTGCCCCACTGACTCCCTTGGCTGAGACAACACTTCAATGTTTCCTCTTTTGTTTTGTTTTTTTGAGATAAGGTCTCATTACGTAGTTTAGGCTGATCTTAAACTCACTATGTATCCCAGGCTGGCCTCAGATTCACAGCGATTCTCTTGTCTCAGTGTCCTGAGTGCTTGATGTTCCCCAGGTGTGTGTTGCCACATCCACAAACTTTAATGTTTTATTAAGGCATTTTATATTTTCCTTTTGATTCATATATGTATATGAATAAAAATATATATGTACATGATAAAGAAATTATAATTTATAGACATATATCCTTTTGCTTTTCTCTCCTATTCTCTTCTGTTTCATATCCAAAGTTCTTTTCTTTTCTTCATTTTATATATTATTGCTTTCATTTCTTATGTTTTTCTTGCTTTCTTTCTTTTCCTTTTAAATTTATGGTTTTTCTTTTTCTGTGTTTTTCCTTGCTTTCTTCTTTTGGCTCGATTAATTTTTTTCATCACTTTAGACTTTTAAATAGTTTATCTTATATAATATTTGCCCCTGGCATTCCTGTTTCTATTACCATTCCTGTGGTTGCTGTTGGTTGTTATTCACTTTATTTACACATACATGTTGCTTGTGTTTGTGGGGGTTTTGTAACTTATGTTCCCCTTCCTGTGGAATGCTAGAGGCAAAGTCACATGTGGAGCAGATGCTCTGCTGCTGATCTGCACTCCTGTCCCTGCTAAAACGAGTTGCACTTTACTCTGCCTATGGCCCATCTCTCCTTGAAACTCAGAAAAGACTTCCATATAAAGAATAGAGGAGATACAATCTCTAAACTGATGACCTGACCTCAAATGAACACAGATGGGTTAGGGGTGACTGAAAAGCCACTCCTGGTTGTCCATTCCCCATAGTATCAGCAGAGAGAAACACAAAGATTGTGTATACTCTATCTACAAGTGGCCTCAGTACAAGTTGTCCCCACCTCCTTTGGCACCACACATTTCTGACAAGAGTATACAAATAACCACAGAGGATGCACCCCATATGCATCACTGTCCACAGCACAATTTTTTGAACTACCACAGAGACTTGACTCTTGCTGAGACTGCAAGAAAGCAGGCCTGTCAAGTTCCAACAAGTATGCTCTGAGTCGATCACAGTCAAAGAAGCAACAGAGAAACTACACTATAAAGTCCAGTTGGAATTAAATTCTACAGTACACTATAAACTGACATCCCGGGGCTCATCGATAAGAAAAAGCTATTCCATAAGAAGGACCTCATATACAAATAGAAGAGATATACATGTCAACCAATGCACAAATATCAGAATAGAAATAAAAGAAATATGATAAAATATGACAACATTATCATTCTAAAAATTCTTAACTTGGAAGTAATGCACTCCAAAGATACTGATGTAAATAACACGGTGGACAAAGGATAATTCTAGCAAATGATACACAAATTTAAAGGCGATACAAATAAACAACAAGGAATTAAAATGACCGTGCAGAATACAAAAGAGCAATGCAACAAGGAGAGATTCTGAAAAAGGAATCAAACAGAAATATTGGGAGTGATAAGCTCAATAAGTCAAATTAAGAATTCTGTTGAAAATCTCACTTATAGATTAAATCAAGCAAGAGAATTAATATCAGGTCCTAAAGACAAGGTAAGTAAATTATAATAATCAGATAGTAATAAATAAAGAATAAGAAATTATGAACAGGATACACAAGATCTCTGAGAAAACAAAAAGATCAAACTTCACAGTCATAGCAATACATAGAGTAGCTGAGCTATAGGCTAATGGCATAGATACCTATTTGATAAAAAAAAGCAGATAATTTTCCAAATCATGGAAATGATACAGACATCCTGATACTAGAAGTATTTAGAACCCCAGATAGAAAAGTCGAAAAAATAACATACCTGCTAAATACTAGGACATTCACAATATACTACAGTTATACTGCTAAAATTATAGAACAAAATACTAAAAACTGTAAGAGACATAATACATCATTTATAAAGGCAAACTCATCAAAATAATAACAGATTTCTCACAAGGAGATCTAAAGGGCAGGGGCACAGAAAATGACGTATTTAAAGACTTGAAAGAAAATAAATGAAATCTAGATAACTCTATCCAGGAAAGTTATCATTGTTAATATGCATAATAAGCATAAAGTAGAATTCATAACCACTAAACCAGCATTCCAGATGATACTTGTATCAGTTAGAGTTCATGAGCGCACAGAGAGAGAGAAAGAGAGAGAGAGAGAGAGAGAGAGAGAGAGAGAGAGAGAGAGAGACAGAGACAGAGAGACAGAGACAGAGAGAGAGAGACAGAGAGAGAGACAGAGAGAGATTTGCAAGGCAGGTTTACAATGCCCCCTGCAGTCAAATGTGGAAGAATGTTAAAGGGCCATCTGTGCACTGACTAGCTGGAAGAGCCAGTCACAGATGTAAAATCTTTGGAGCTCACAGCAGAGTCCTGTTGGGTGTTATATTAGAAAGCTGCAAGATCTGTGCCAGAAGGCTGAAGAGTCTGCACTGCAAAGGTGAGGAGTCTGTGCTGGACATCTGGACATGGATGGCCAATGCCATGGTGCACCCTGGAGCTCCTCTGAAGAAGCAGAACTGAGACTTCTTTCTTCTTTCTCTTTTTGTTCCACCCAGGCTACAAGCCTTTTGGTCGGTTGTGCCCAGGGCACATCTTTCCTCTTTAGTAAATTCATCATCCATATCCAGAGCTATGTTAAGCATAAAGGGTTTAAAAATCCTAAGTATAGAAGTACCTTACCTCCACATAGTAAAGGTTATATATGATAAATTCATAACCAACATCAAATTGAATGGAAGAAAACTCAAAGCATTTCCTCTATAATCAGGAGAACAAAACAGATGCTTTCTCTCACTACTAGTTTTCAATATAATATTGAAATATTAACCAGAGAAACTAAGCAAGAGAAAGAAAGAAACAGGATGCAAATAGGAAAGGAGGAATTTAAAACAAGCTTGTTTGGAGATGCTATGATTCTATACTCAGAAGACTCTAAAGAACCCAGTAAGACACTTTTAAAATTGATACATTAAAAATGGCAAGATAGGGACAGGGGAGATGGCTCAGTAGAATAAGTGCTTGCTTCTCAAGTGCAAGGGCCTGAGTTCAATCCACAGTTCTGAAAAAAAAAATGACAGGATACAAAATCAACACAAAATGTGACATCTTTTTCTTGGATCAAAAAGCTTGCATTTAATTTTTTTAAGGCACATTAAATCAATTCTCATAAGAGTAGGCAGAAATCAGGAGTAAGAACAAAAGATTATTCCACTTTAGCCAACATACACTAGTGTCATTTTTCAAATTTACAGAGAGTCCATTTCTAGTCCCCGTTTTTCTCTTCTGAAAGGATTTCAAATTCACCACGTTAAACAAAGTTCTTGGGGTTAGGGCTAAGGTTCTGTGCTAGCAACAGTGGAAGGATGTCCTGGAGTACTGGTTTAGGGTCACTCTACTGCCCACCAACTCCTCCCTTACAACATGAGGTGGTTTCATTTATTTTTTTTTCAAAATTTTATTGATAAACAGATAGCAATGAGACAGTTTCAAATCAAATCGGAGGTACAGTTTCAACAAATAATACACTGCATACATTCTTTCTAGTGGTTAATTGCTGTACAAGATGCAGACTTGAGATCCTATTTACAAACACCATTAAAACAAATCATTCTATTCATTAAGAGAATGCAACTATATATCTATCCTAACCACTTTGAATACACAGATACAAAATGGACATTCATCTGTATACCCCATTTTTTCTCAGTTCAGTTATTGAATACTATAGGTGTGTAAACTCAGCAAAATATTCTAAAAGAGTCCAGTAGCCCATAATAGCATTGGGTCTTCTGTTTAACTGGCAATGTCAGAAATTATTGACCTGAGTACCCCACAGCTCAACATAACAACATGGTTTTACTTCCTATATTTCGTCTTCATACTTTTCTACTGGATGGTTAAGACCAAGGTAAAGCAGGACCTGTGCAACAAGAATTGTAGCTTTTTGGTCTGAGAAGGTCAGTGAAATCCCCTCAGGATTTATCCTGAGATCCTGTACCTCAGATTGTAGAACCTTTGTCAGTGCAGCCATGTGGATGAGTCACGGCCATTGCTTGGCCAATGTGCTCTCTGTGAAAGCCTGAGAGAGTGTCTTCTCCCCATGTGACTCTCCTTAGGCCCACTCTACATCATCGATCACTTTCCTCTTTGGCCCCATAATCTTCTTGATCAGAAAATTTGGGACACTACCGAGGTACATGTCGTTACAGTACAAGTTCTCATATGTCCTGAGTCTTAATTGACCTTAGAAGGCTAGGGCCAAAATGTTGGCTTGAGGTGGTTTCATTTAGAGTCATGAATTTCGGTCCATCCTGAGCTCTCTGGCTCTAGGAAGGGCCCTTCATAGCAACAGGCATTGGAGCTGCAGGGGCGGGGTCCCTGCCACTGACCTGTGCCGGTCTTTATTCTTGTATTTTTTACGGCCGCTATGATGACTCCCTGAGGAAGTGGAAGAAGTAGCCTTATGAGGCTTCACTCTCTGCATAGATCCATCCAGATCCTCAGAGTCCTCTTGGCTGGGCTCATTTTCCTGATTGTGGAAGTGCGGAGAAGTGAATCTTTCTTTCTTTCTTTCTTTCTTTCTTTCTTTCTTTCTTTCTTTCTTCTTTCTTTCTTTTTTTTTTGTGTGTACATGTCTAGCTTTTATTTGCTCATTAAAGTCAAATATTCAATTTAAATGACTGTTCTATTGCCATATTTTATCTTTTTTATTTTACATTTTAATAATTTTTTGAGAAACAAGTAGCAATACATACTGCTTGTCATGGCATACCAATTGCTACCATACTGTTTCTCAAGTAAATGTTTTTTTAAAGGGTAATAAATGAAAACAAGAGACAAGAAAAAAATAGAGGACTGTCTTGCTACAATGCTGTATGTGGTTAGATTTCTAAATTTCTGTGTAAAAATATGTAATTGTTTATTGCTATTTTTGAAAATATTTTTCTATGTTTTTAGTTTTTTTTTCTTTTTTTTTCTTCACATTCTATAGGGATTTAAAGTTTAACCTATCAGTACTTGATAGAAAATACCTGTTCCATGTTATGTCTAAGATGTTTGATGTTTAGACAGATAGTGAGATTAAGCTCAATTGCCTATGTTATAGGACAATAACATCATTAAGCTTCTCTTCTGGAGGGTTAACAACTTAAGTTGGCAACCAAAAATTAGAGAAAAATAAGGGCTGAAAGGACAGGCAACATTTTGGCCCTAGCCTTTCAAAGTCAGTGAAGACTCGGGACATAGGAGAACCGGTACCATAACATCCTATAACTCAGCTGTGTCCCAAATTTTCTTGTCAAGGGGATTATGGGGAAACAGAGGAAAGTGATCGACAATGTAGAGTGTGCCTAAGGAGAGTCACATGGAGAGAAAACATCTCTCAGGCTTTCTCGGAGAGCAAATTGGTCAAGCAATGCCCATGACTCATCCATATGGCTGACACTGACAAAAGATCTACAAAGTGCTGTACAGGGTTTCAGGGTAAATCCTGAGGGGATTTGATTGACCTTGTCAGATAGAAAAATTACATGTCTTGTTATATAGGTCTTGCTTTATCTTGATCGTAACCATCCAGCAGAAAAGTATAAAAATGAGATATAAAAAGTAAAACTATATATATTAATAGGCTGAGCCATAAAAGGCTCAAGTCAACAACTTCTGACACTGCCAGTCTTGCGGATAACCCACTACCATTATAAACTACTGGACTATATTGGATTACTCTGCTGAATTCACGCACCTACAATATATGAATGGCAATGTAATACACATCTCTGACAGAAGTAAAAAAGGGGATGTAAATGGGCCATTTTGTAGTGGGGAAAAATGTGTGTGTATGTGTGTGTGTGTGTGTGTGTGTGTGTGTGTATAGCATAAATATACAGCTACTTTCTTAGTTCAATGAGAAGGATTTGAACTAATAGTGTTTAGACAAGATATCATGTCAGCATCTTGTACTAGGAATAATTACTACCAAGACAACAATATGCAATGTATTAATTTTTGTAACTGTCCTACTAACCTGTTTTGAAGTGTCACTTTCTGTCCCATTTTCTGGCTCCCTCTTTTCAATGAGCTGGTCCTGAACTCCTGCCAATTCACTTTCGGCAGCTGCTGATGTGACTGAAGATTTACTGAAGTTCCGCTGGGCTTCTTTAAACTTCCGGTTCCTTGGATCATTTTTGCTGTTGGAGTTTTTTTGGTTGGTCAGATAGAGATCCCAGCCATGAATAATATTGCCATACATTTGAGTGTCTTCCAGGTAGCTTCCCTCAGAAACATAGATCTGTCTCTCCAAGTTTGCCAGTATTTCTGCCAGCTCCTGCTTTGGCTTCATGAGCTCCACCAGCTGCCACCAGATGTCCAGGATATGCAGTGGGGCCACCTTGTGCATCACCATGTTGGGCTGGAGTGGCGGCAATGGCACAAGCCATGGCACCTTTTTTATACACAAATAAAGAAGTTACTGAGAAATAATCCCACGTATAATGGCCTTTACAAAAACGCTAGGAATAAACTCAGCCAAGGAGATGAAAGATCTCTAAAATAAAGATTATTTTAAAAAGGAAAAAATGAAAAAGATACTAGAAGATGGAAAATCTCCCATGTTTGTGGATAGGGAGAATGGAACAGTATTAAGTGGACATAGTTCCCAAAATGATCTACAGGTTCAATGCAATTTCCATAAAATATGTGATATTCTCCACAGAACTAGGAAAACCATTCCTAAAAGTTATACTGAAGCACAAGATACTCCTAATGGCCAAAACAATTCTAAGCAAAAAGAACAATGTTGAAAGTATCACAATACCAAATTTCAAAATATATTCTAGAACCACTGGGGGGAAAAACCCACAATTTGGTATAGGCATAAAAACAGACACTTAAACCAATAAAATAGAATAGAGGACAAAGTAATAAAGTAATGCATCTACAGTCATCTGATTCTCAACAGAGGAGAAAAAAAACCACATGTTGATTTAAAAAAGACAGCCTGTTTAACAAACAATGTTAGAAAAAGCAGAACATTCACTTATAGATGATTACAACTAGATCCCTATGTAGAAATCAATTTGAAATGGATTAAAGCCCTTAATGTAAGACACGAAAATTTGAAAATAATAGAAAGAAACTGGAGAAACAATTTAACATATTGGTACCGACAATTATTTCCTAAATAAGACTCCAATAGCTCAGGAAATAAGAAGAGACAAATGAGATTACATCGAATTAAAGTGCTTCTAGCTGGATGTAGTGGCACATGTCTGTAACCCCATTACTGTGGGAATATCAGGCAGCAAGATTGCAAGTTTGAGCCAGCTTGGGCAATGCGGTGACTTGGTGAGACCCCTTTTCAAATTAAAAACTACCAAGGGCTGGTGGGGGGGGGCGCCATAATGAACTAGACGCAGCAGTATTGAGAAATGCTCGGAAGACACTCACCAAGATCTGCTGGTACTCAGAATCAAAGAATGAATGAAAGCCAAAACACATGAAGGCACCTTGAAGGAGAAGCCCACTGGATGAACTGTAGTGTCAGGGCTTTTAGAGAATGAAGCAGAACCAACTCTCAATCTCACCACTGCTTACAGCAGTAAACATGCCATCTTGGGAAAAGTTCTGACCCCCTAAGGGAAGAAGCTTCACTTAGTCCACTGCTACTGGTGTCCAGACTAGTAGCCATGCACTCGTGCCCAAGTATTCTAGCTCTCTTCTCACTGGGAGATGGAGAAAGTATTTACAGAACACAGCTTCCTCAAATTATGACACTAAGGAGAAAAGGGACACTGGAGCTGTGTCCAAGTGCATACTATCTCACCACTCCTCAAAATCCTGCTGAGTATCTATACACGATGGAATACTACTTGTCTATAAAGGATAGATTTGAGACATTTATAGAAAGATGAATGCATCTTGAAAACGTGATGTTAAAGTATACAAATCAGACACACAAGCTTAAATACATTAAGAGCAAAACAAAAGATTTATAAAAGGAAATATATCTTCTGTAAATGTGAAAGGGGATCAAGTGATGGAATGTGGAGGTAGCTGGGAAGAGCATGAATGCAAAGATTTAAAATGTGTCATGTGGGATGGGGAGATAGCTCAGTGGAATAAGTGCTTTCCTGGCAAGAGCAAGGTCCAGAATTCAATCCCTGGTACCACAAAAAAAAAGAAAGAAAGAAAGAAAGAAAGAAAGAAAGAAAGAAAGAAAGAAAGAAGAAAGAAAG